ATACATTGCCTATATTCACACAGAAATGGATAAAAATACTTATTTTTAAAATGGGGTGTACTCCATTATGCTGACTACTGTACATATACTTTTTAATAGACTGCAAATGTTTCATCTTTCAATAATACTGAATACTAAATACATTGAAGATGGTGATAATAATAATAATAAAAATAATAATAATAATATTGTGGAAGTATCTTGGCACACTCACCATTATCCCGTCTTCGTGCTGATGAGACCACACCATATGCACCTGTACCAATGGTCTCAATAATGTCATATTCATCCCCGACTTCAAACTTCACATCCAGGGAGTGGGCTTTGAGCAGGGCCAAGTTCTTGTCTGCGACAGTAGTGTCATCAGTAACTGTGGACGTATCATTGCTGGGTTGAGCTGGTCCTTCTGTAACGCCTCTTTGCTGGACCTTTTCAATGTTGCTCTCTCTCCTGCTGTCGCCTTCTGAGGCTTCTCCTGCTGTGTGACTGTTATTTGTCTCATCCATCTTATTGGATGCCATCCTGAAATAAAAGAAAAGTAAGTTGTGACTGGCATGAGGGAAGAGACATTAAAAACACGTATACAGTGCTTGTAAAAAATCATCATACAGCTTTGAAATAATTACTTTATTGATGAACACTGAGTTATAAAACACTATTACTTCAAATGAATTATATTTGAAGCTGAGTGACTAAAAATATAGCTATATATTATGCCAACGCCTCCACCTTGTTCAATTGAAAAAAAGTCAATGATTTATTTTAATTATTAAGCCTGACACGTTTACTGTTTCAAAATATTTTAAATCTTTTTTAAAGTAAAACATATTGTGTTCAATAGGGGACAAAATTAGTTCTTACCCAGACATTTAAAAAGAACATATTTTAGAGCAGTAATCAAAATGCCGTGAATATGCATGGAATGATAACCAGTTTCAAGCATTACCACAGTTTAGAAAAGTCAAGTTTTTAAATCACCAGAATTTTCTGTTATACCGATCCTATGGTCTTAAAAAAAATAGTCTTTTTTTTATTGTTTGTTTTTTTGCAAGAATTCTATTTAGTTTTTTTAGTGCAACAGTATCTCCAGCAGAAAAGGACCCTCCACATCAAAAGCTACTCTTCCAAAATATTTAAAATGTTTTTTTTTTAAAAAAAATTTATTGTGTTCAATGGGGGAAAAAGTTATTGTTTTTTTTACCCAGATATTTAAAAAGAACATATTTTAGAGCAGTAATCACTTTACCGTGCAACTGTGTAACCTTGATCATACCGTCACAATTTTCCACCGGACCATGCCTAATGGTACAACTGCGATATTTTTAATGAAGATTATTATTATACTGTCAGAATCTTATATCAACCCATGCCAAACCATGAGACTGCGATAACTTTTTCGAAGGTTATTATACAGTCAGAATCGTATACCGGTTCATGCCTAAACTGTACTGTATATGCATGGAAAAGTAAGATAAATATCTCAAGTGTTTGTTAAGTATAGGTCTAAATTAGGCATGGGATGATAATCATTGTCAAGGTATACTGCGGTTTGGAAAACTCAAGGTTTTAAAATTGCCAATATTTTTGCTATACAGATTTTTTTATTTATGTCTTTTTTTCACGTTTTTTCTTTTTTTTTTAGGACAACAGCATTATTAGCAGAAAAATCCCCAAAGATGCTGTTTTAAATTGGTAAGAAATCTGAGTTATATAAACTAATGAAGACAGCAAAAGTCAATGACTCATTTAAATTATTCAGCCTGACACGTTTACTGCTCCAAACTATTATAAATGTTTTTTTTAAATCAAATATATTGTGTTCAAAGGGGAAAAAAAGTTTTTGTTTTTAACCAGACATTCAAAAAGAATATATATTGAAGCAGTTACCACAATACAGTAAAGCCGTGATATTTTATCCAAGGTTATCATACCGTCAGAATCTTATTAGTTATAATTTATAATGTATATATTATAAATATTAGATTAGAATAAATTTATAAATGTAAATGTACATTAAATGTAAACTACTGAGTCTTTAACCATTCTTTGTGTGAAGTCTAAAACTCTACATACACTTTTGAAAATGGCATCTATTTTGTCATTTTATGCAGAAGTCTAAATGGTTTTGATTATTTCAAACTTTGAAGAAATGAAAAAAAATACTCAAACTGGTTACTATTATCAAATTCTGAGAATTAACTCTAAATATTTGTTTATCCCATGAAGAACTGTTAAAATAACAGTATTAAATTATACTTTCAGTTCAACTAATGGTCTTCCCTTAAACATTAAGGAGCGAGACAGCTAATGTATAATCTAAGTGATCATCTCTTTTAATCAGTAACAGAACACACACTTATTTACAGTGATTCAAGAACAGCATCACTTTCAATTAAAAAAAACAGTTTTCAATAATAACATATGTATAATGCGAGCCTTAATTTAACATTTTAAGCAAAAATATATATTATGGAGGTGCACAGATGTGTTGTAGTAACGTTATAGAAGTGAAAGCATGCAATAACAGACACAGAAACAGCTGCTAATTATGACTTATCTGTAAATTTACGTAATGGTACTGCGTCGCTGGCGTTTATATGCGATTAATCCTGCTTATTTGAGACAGGGATGTAAGAGCTTACTGGCCCAAAAGAGCTTTGATAATGAATATCGACCCTTTCTTTCTTTTCACATTTCAACTAAGACAAATAAAAAACAAATATCGTGTTATAAAAGCGTCCGTAATTACCTGTAATTTTATGGAAGCGGGAATTTCTGAGCGGTTCTTTCAAAGCATGTCTATTCTTTTGCTATCACGAAGCACCGTTTTACTTCCTTGTATTTTTCCGTATTGTGTTTGAATGACAGGCATTCGGCCAAACGGCTGTTCGCTTATCAGAGGATGAACCAATGCGATGGGACAACACGCTCAGGGGGCGGGCTCATGAGAGGTGTGGAATAGGGTCATTCTCTGGGCGGTGTCGACAATGAAGTGAGTGTAAATAACACGCGCACTTGCCATAGCACGTTGGACGGTGTGTATAACCATTTATAAACACATGCATACAGAGAAATTAAAAAGTTAATTCATTTAATTAATTAAAAAAAGCTAATTCATCAGTTAAAGTAACGTAAAAATGAATAAAATATGCATTAATACTAAATTGGTCTAAAATAAATATAGAAAATACAATGCTCTTTATAATTATTGTATTAGTTTTAGTCAATTTTTTCTTATTATTTATTAAATGGAACTATTACATGTGGAGATAGATAAAATACTATAAAAATACAAAATACTGTTACAAAAATAAATAAAACTAAACAAAAATATGTGCACATATTTATCACGTAATATGGAGTTTATATATTATGCCTCTCAACACACTAACTCTCCTTTAACTAATAAAAAGTCAAAGTGGCCTTTTTAAAATTCCACAACAACAACAACAAAACTTTTATTTTAATAAATTGAAGAGGCAAATAAATGCATGTGGGAATAAATATAAATAAATTAACTGTATGGACATTTAAAAAACTAATAAAATTATATATATATATATATATATATATATATATATATGTATATGTATGTGTGTGTGTGTGTGTGTGTGTGTGTGTGTGTGTGTGTGTGTGTGTGTGTGTGTGTGTGAAAAAATTTATTTTAAATAAATTATTAAATACTATAAAAATACTATGAGAACATTACTCAATTTAGCAACAAAATACTAGAATATAGTAAAAAAACATACTTTTACTTTGTTTAATTGGGTTATTTAAGCCTCAAATTTATCAGAATAGGACCAAACCAAAAACCTAAATCACAAAAAGTTAAATACAGTTTTATATATTATATCAGTAGCAGTTATTATCAATACTTAAACAATAACAGTAAGGCATTAATACTTTTAAAATTACACAAAAGACTGGGAACAATAAATTCACTTTCACAATATTTACATCAACTTTAATAATAATAACAATAATAATACAAAATTGTATAATGAATTAAAAAAAATTATAAAAACTAAAATAACAAATAAAATAAACGATAAATAAAGAAAAATAAGAAGCAGGAGAGTTGAAGTTCTCAAAATGTAGGCTTATATGAAACCAAAATCCTCTAATACAGTATATCCCATGCCTTTTGACTTCTCATCTTCAAATATATGCCAAATTCTTCTTTAAACACTGCTAATCTTGGGGGAATTAAAAAAAAAAATACAATTATGAATAGATTTTTTTATAACATCAACAAATTATTTATAAGATCGTTTTATTCTTAGATATTAAACCAAACTTAATGATTTCCCATGAACAAAACCAATGGTCCTGACATATTTCCTGTTTTACATTTTTAATTTTTATAAAAGAGCCACATATTGATAAATAATTTTATGATAGCTGTTTTAACATAAAGTTATGATTGAATTGCCTCTTGTTACTGTTATGAAATAGTTTGATAACAAGCAGGAAATGTTCATGGGCCAATGACATGACCACATTGAAATGGTCCATAGATATTGTTATTATTGCACCCAAACTAATACTTAATCCAAAAAAGTTTGCACCAATTTACATTGACAATATCTAAAAAAAAAAAAAAAAAAAAAAAAAAAAGCACAATATCCAAATGACAAAACTACATTTGAGTCCCCAATTATTGTATTTTAACCTTAAAAAAATCTGTTGCAGGATAAATGGGATTCATAATTTCAAAGTGCACTTTTTACATTTAGGATTAAAGGGATATGAAAGAATTTGTATTCTAATATTTTTCCCCTTTAAAGAGTTAAAAAACCCTCCAGAAATATTAACGCTGTTTAAAGGCGCTTCAGGTTTTCTGAGCCGCCATGCGCCCCCTGCAGGACAAAACCGCGTCACCTCATTGGAAACCGTTATAAATCCTAAACTTCAGTCAAGCCCCCCGTTTCATCTCTGCGGTCCAATCACAGCTCATGTTTTCAACCTTTTTCCACGTTGCAGTATTTTAGCAAGGTGGGAGTCTGAGCATACTTGCACAACTGCACTGTAAATACCGTCCGTTTTTACTCAGCAAGAGAAGATTTTGTAAATTAGGCCGTTTAATTTAGCAACTTTAACCTGTCACTGCGATGTCGAGTCATTCCGCTTCTGGAGTTCCTAAATGGGAATTTCGCGTCCGCCTGATACTGTGCATTTTGGGGTTGGTTCTGTCGGTGTACGCGTTACACGTCGAGCTGTCCCGGGAAAACAATCCCGAATACCGGGCGATGTGCGACCTCGGTAATTCTGTGAGCTGCTCAAAAGTCTTCACATCCAGGTGAGAGTCTTCCTAATCACCTCAGTCGTGGCAGTTTTCAGGATTGATGTAAAGTTGGTTTCCCAGTCGCACATTCGGACTTTCTCCTTGATATTATTTTCCTGAAAGGTTTTATATTCGCACATTCGTTCATTTAGAAGTCTCTATTTTGTTTATGCTACTTTGAATATTCGGTCAGAATTAGCATGCAAAGACTTCAAAACAACATTAGCACTATATATTTGACTGTAAACAATGTTGTACTTTGATAACCATTGGCTGCTAATAAGATTTCCTGATTTAGAATTTGCAAATAATACTTTTCTGAAATTTAAAGAGCATGTCTGAATTTACAAATATAAAACCAACTTTATCTCTATGAAAATGTGAAAATGAATATGAAAGTATGTGTTGCTAATTCTAAAATGGGAACTCATATTAGCAGCCAATGACTATCAAGCATTGTTCACAGTGAATTAAATACTGCTAATGTTGTTTTGAAGTCAATCTTGCATGCTATTTCTGATCGAATATTCAAGGTATGGTAATTTAAAGAATATTTAGAGACCGTGTTATTAGTTCGATTTAGACAAATGTGTGCATAAAAAAACAACTCCTCAATGTTTTAGTGACTCACCACATGAAAAAAAGCCTGGTATTAGTAATTTATTGAAAACACTATTGTATTTTTAAACCGTAAAGTACTTGAATTGATGAATGTTGTAGTAATTCTAATTTCTATGTAGTTTCTGTCTTAATACAACAGCTATAAACAAATTACATCATGTTGTTTGCAACAACTACTATAGGATATGTAAAGGGATAGTTCACTCAAACATGAATATCTGCTCACTTTTTCCTCACCCTTTATTGATTCTAAACCTTTAGAAGTTTGTTTACTCTGTTGAACACAAAAGGAGATATTTTGAAGAAAGCTGATAGGTCTTTATGAAAATGTTTACAAGAAAAGTCTTTAAAGAAATGTGGGTCAAAAATGCATTGCAAAAATGTATTTCTAACATAGATTTTTTGTCCTGTTTCTATAGACCAAAATATCCATGTCAAGAAGAATTTTCTTGACAAGTAATAAATATTGTCTTATTTTTAATTAGAAATAAAGATTTTCCTTAAAAAGGCAATATAATCTTAATTTAAAGTGAAAACTATTTCATTTTATTTTATTTTGCATACTATTTTATTTGGCAAATTATTCAGCTTTTTAAATATATATATATATATATATATATATATATATATATATATATATTTTTTTTTTTTTTTCCGAGAAAATGCTTCTTGATTTAAGAATTTTTTTACTTTTTGATCAACAAGCATTTTTTACTTATTTTTTTACAGTGTGTAAATTGTGTTTTAAATGAGTGATTATATTATAACTGATATTTAGTTATATAAATATTTAGTATTGTATTGTTTTGTTTTAGGTAACTGGAATATGTACTGTCACCAATATGTTCATTAGGAAATGGAAAAACCCATGCATTCATAAAGGGGTTTATTCTGATTTATATGACTCTATATTTTAAGGTGACATAGTTATAGTGTAACTGTAAATTTAACCACTGAGTAATATTAATAAATTACTTGTACTTGCTATGTGGTTGGGGTTAGAATGTGGGTTAGGTTTAAAGTTACATGTAATTATGCAGAACTCCTGGTAAATACTATAGTAAATGCATTGGAACATGTGTAACTGCATCACCTTAAGTTAAAGTGTTGCCCTCGTTAATGCTGGGCTCTGTTAATTAACTTTGCTGAATCTCTGATCCTCCTGTCAGATGGGGACGTGGATTTGGGCTCGTCCAGATCTTTACCTCCAAAGACAGCGTGCTGAACCAGCCGAACAGTGTGCTGGGCATCATTTTCTATACACTGCAGCTGGGCTTGGGTAAGTGCTTTTATAGGCCACTGATGGCTCGTTTCCACTGACTGATACAGTTCGTACTGTTCGGGTCGGTACGGGTCACCTTTATCAGGCTTGCGTTTCCACTACCCTTTTGGTGGGCGTGGTGTATGACAAAGTTTCAGTCGACGTCATTTTCGCTCGAGATAATGTCTACAACAAAGCTGCACAGGTCGTTCACATATCATATGAAAAGCACTTCTCACTAAACAGATGCTTTACACACATAAATACTTGTGTATAAATGTTTATTACTAACTTTTCAATAAACAGGAGTTGATTATAACTGCAGATCAATGACGGTGCGAAATAGCCTGCTGTAACGTCTGTAATTATATTAAATAAATAAATAAATGAACATATATGAACACATACAGACCCTCACAGTCTCCGATATGTTACCAACTACAGAAGAACTACACAAAGCAGACATTTCATCGTTAATTAGGTTCAAAACAACACAAAGTATAGCCTACAGTCAGTGCAAACCTCTCATCTGTGAGGTTCTTTTCCGGGTCCAAGCCCTATTCACTTGAGTGGAGAAATCATTCGTTTATGATCACTTTTTATTCCTATCACACATTAAAGTTAATTTTACATAAAGTCATAGTGTACACAACAATCTCTGGGCTTGCTGCATAACAAATACAAAAATTTTAACAATTTATAAAACAATGAATGACTTTCTGGCCATCGGATATTAGGCATGGACATATATACTGCGATCGTGGCTTTCAAAAGTATTAAAATCGCTTTGTAAACGTTTATTATTACCATTTCATGAGTCTCCCAATTCAGTTGAATAGAGCGCTTGGACTCGGAAGCCGCTCTGCGTGACGTCACACTTAACAAGTGGATTGTTGTTGTTTTTTTGGCTTGGCAGGTCAGACGGTGTCCAGCAGGGCAGGGTTTTTCCTGGTCATGTCCTCTTGGGTGTCCGTGGCCGGATCTGTGTATCTGGCTTCTATTCTGGCTTTCGTCTTGGGTGATTTCTGTGTGGTTTGTGTCTCAACCTACATCATAAACTTTGCCCTTCTCTACACAAACCTGAAGAGAAGAACCGGACTAGAGGCACGCCTGAAGAAAGGGAAGAGCCAATAAAATCTGTTTCATTTTGAGTTTCAAAGACTTTAAATGGACAGTGCACTCAGAAATGAGCGTTCATCATTACAAGTCTTTATGATTTAGTTTCTTCTAATGAACACAAAAGAAGATATTCTGAAGGATGTTGGTAACCAAACAGTTAGTGCTAACCATTGACTTCCATCTGTGCTTCCCACAGGTTTGAAATATTCTTGCGGTGGTAGCCGGATTGAAACACTTTTTACCAACATCATGTATATTAACCATATGTGACAAAATTATTTTTAATAATATTTTTATTTATTATGAAACTTTTATACAATTTAACTGTTTATTTCCAATCGGTTAAAGTTAAAAAATAGTATTGAAGTAAAAAAGAAATCCACTATTTCTCTTATACTATTCAGGAGCCATGTGCACCCTCTGACAGGTCAAATCTGCTTCTCTCTATCTCTCATTCAGGTTCAGTTTGCTCTATTGACAAGCCATTTTGTACGACATTGCTAAAGCATTTTAGATGTATAAAAGATGTCATATATTGACATCATCAAATGAATAAAATAATGAGAAATAAACAACAGAATAACGGAATAAAAACAGACAATATCCGTAAAAAATTATTAATAATTACAAGAATAAAGTGTGTAGATTATTTAAATAAGGCAAAATGGGTTGATTAACCGTTTCTAATGGTGGACAAATAATTCGCAGCCAATTCAGATGTGATTTTGTCCTTTCTGAGTATTTAGTAAAGTTTTGAGTATTTTGAGTCGTTTAGATGTAAAGAAATCCCGTTTTAGCAGATTTACAAACCCTGGACGGACAATTTTTAAGTGTCAAAAAGGCGAGTCTCCTTAGGTCTCTGCCGAGGATGTGAGACTGTCTGTTGGAGTCTTGACAGGTCTTGTGCACACAAAACGAAACTGGTCAATGAGAGAATATTTTCCACTGCTTAATCGATCGTGAATGTTTGGTATATATTCGGAGGATACGAAAAAAGTGTAAAAGAATGATAATAATATTAAAAAATGTCACTAAATATACTTGGGCGGCTGGTAATATACCTGGAGGGGCCCACACAAGTAGTGTGGGAAGCACTGTCCATACACTCTCAGAAATAAAGGTACTAGAGCTGTCAATGGGGTGGTACCATATTTACATTTACATTTAGTTATTTAGCAGTATTTGTACTTAAAGGCTCCATATTGGTACCTCGAAGGTACAGTTGAGGTCAGAGTTATTAGTCCTCCTCAATTATTAGCCTTCCTGTATATTTCTTCCCCAATTTCTGTTTCATGCAAAAAAAGATTTTTACAACTTTCAATTAAAAAATGTCATTTTTAACTTCAACTTTATCATTTGTTTAAAAGTGCTTAATGTATTTACTGCTGAGGACACCAACCTGGATAGATTGCTGTGCATAGATTTCGTTTATTATAGTTTTTAAAACATTTGTTCATTTTTTATTTTATTTTAAAGAAGGTTTATGTTGGGAAACAAAAGTGTAAGGATACAAGTAGAGCTTGCTTGTTTTTACACAATATTTAAAATATTTGTTAAGAAATATCTAAAATATTAAAAAATATATATTATTAATTTATTATTGTATTAGTAAATGTATTCGATTTCAATATTTTTTAAGTAAAATAAAAATCTTTAACATCTTGGCCATTTGAAAAATTCCTTTAAAACTCTTACATTTCATTCATAATGTTCTGAAAAATGTCCTAAAAAGTCTTAAGTTTAACGTGGTGAAACCTGCAGAAACCCTGTATTTGAAAAAGAAAAAGAAAAATCACAGAAGGGCAAATATTTTAGACTTCAACTGTATCTATAGAAATTTCAAGCCTTTTTAGGTACTAATATGTACCCTTGAGGTATTAATAAGAGCCCTGTATTTACAAATGTATACCTTTTGAGGAGGTACCACCCCAGTGACAGCTCCCGTCATTTTATTTCTGAAATTATAGTAAACAAAAAAAGGCTACTATTACGGGAGGTTACCATCAAATGTTTGCTTACAGTCATTTTTCAGCGTTTCTTTTGTGTTCAACAGAATAAAAACTTCAGGTTTGCAACAAATGGTGAGTAAATGATGACCAAATTTCCATTTTTATGTGAACTGTCCCTTTAAGAATTGAGCTGACTTCAAGTAGCTTGCAGACAAACATTTTCTAAACTAATATCTTAAAACGTGTAATTATTATTCACAATTAGCTCTGTGTCAAGAAGGAAACAAACTTTTTTCCCACCTTAAAGATAAAACAATGACTATATATAGTACGTGTGTTTTAATTTAAGAGTTGATTTGCATGTTTCCTGGCTATGAAATAAACAACGAGAGACCTCACTTTATATGGCAACTGGAAATAATTAAATGCAGCTTAATTAATCATGATTATGTGTGTTTTTATTAGGGGTGTCAGTGTCCATGGTGGTAATTGTGTATTTGGTTTAACAATATTGCAATTCAGATGAAATCATTTGTTTTACCAGTTGCTTGGAAATATGTTGGGTTCAGGTTACCATGACTGTGGTTTTATCAAGAATAAATAGCTGGTAGATGTTGTACCAAACATTTGCCTATAGTTTCACTGCATCGTTGTTTGAAACAATCGATTAGTTTACTTTATTCTTCAGTGTCATGTTATACTTCTGACATTTCAGCATGATGAATTGCTGCTGCAGTATATTATCAATTATTATATGAACCTAGTCATTAATAGTGGTTCATATTATAAAAAATGGAAAATCTGATACAGTATTAAATTCGTTAATCATAGGTCGCCACAGCGGAATGAACCGCCAACTTATCCAGCAAATGTTTTACGCAGCGGATGCCCTTCCAGCCGCAAACCAGTACTGGGAAAACACTCATACACTCACATTCACACACATATACTCATACATACAGCCAATTTAGCTTATCCAATTCACCTATAGCACATGTGTTTGGACTGTGGGGGGAAACAGAGCACCCGGGGGAAATTCACACCAACATGGGGAGAGCATGCAAACTCCACACAGAAATGCCAGCTGACCTAGCCGGGGCTCTAATCAGCTTTGAAGAAACAATGCTAACCACTGAGCCACGGTGCCACCCAGTTTTAAATTGTGATACATTTTTTTAATGTTATTATTGCATATGTTGCATGTACTTACTATAGTAATTACAAACAATTATGGATAATTATAACCCTAAACCTAACCCAAATCATATACAGTAATTAAGTAACTAAATTAATAATTACACTTCAATTATGATGCCCTAAAATAAAAAAAAGTGCAACTTAATACTTTTCATTATTATACATTTTATGTAATTTTACATTATTCACTCATTGATCTATTAAACGTGGGCTTATTTACAGAATAAAAGCTTAACTGTTTTAGTTTTCGCAAAAAATGACAGGAATTTAAATATATATATATATATATATATATATATATATATATATATATATATAGGTTGTTGTTGTTATTATTATTGTTATTATTTATAAAATTCAAATAACACCATTATATTTGTTTAGGGCATTACGGTGGGGCATTGGTTAGCATTGTTGCCTCACAGCAAGAAGGTTACTGGTTCGAGCCTTGGCTGGGTCAGTTTGCATTTCTATGTGTGTTTCCTCGGGGTGCTCCGATTTCCCCCACAAGTCCAAAGACGTGGTATAGGTGAATTGTGTATGCTAAATTATTTATAGTGTATGTGGGTGAATGAGTGTGTATGGGTGTTTCCCAGTGATCGGTTGCAGCTGGAAGAACATCCACTGTGTAAAACATATGCTGGATAGATTGGCGGTTCATTCCTCTTTTCGACCCCAGATTAATAAAGGGACTAGGTCGAAAGGAAAATGAACGAACGAATGAATATATCTGTTTGTTGTGTTTTAGATCAAATAAATACAGTTTTGGTGAGCAAAAGACTATTTAAATTTTATTCTTGATATTTTTTACCTTTATTACATTTTCATATCTGGTGAAGCAGTAGGTAGTGCTGTTGCCTCACAGAAAGAAGGTCACTGGTTCGAGCCTCAGCTGGGTCAGTTGGCATTTCTGTGTGGAGTTGCATGTTCTTCTTGCGTTTGTGTGGGTTTCCTCCTCGTGCTTCGGTTTCCCCCACAGTCCCAAGACATGCGGTACAGGTGAATTTATCCGTAGTGTATGAGTGTGAATGCGTGTGTGTGGATGTTTCTCAGAGATGGGTTGCGGCTGGAAGGCCATCCGCTGCATAAAAACGTGCTGGATAAGTTGGCGGTTCATTGCGCTGTGGCGACCCCGGATTATTAAAGGGACTAAGCCGACAAGAAAATGAATGAATGAACATCTTCATATCTTTGAAAACATTAACAGGGGTTTTGAAAGTTGTGCAAAGTTTTGCAAATTTTCCAATACAAAACCTAAATATCTGAATGCTCTGTAAGCTGTTCTGTTTTATTAAACCATTAAAATCAAATTTATTATATAAAATAATGTAATATTGTATATAACCCTTATGACTTCCAACGTTGCGTTTCTGTGGGACGAGCAGACAGTGACTAAACCACAGACAGTTATTGCTGTCCTGTTCGTGACAGGACATGTTCTGCCAACAACTTTTTTGCCTTTCAAATTGTGGTTACACTGCTGAAGTGATGTTTTGGTTTTATAGGTTGGAAAAATATCTCTTTAGGTATCAATAGGTTGCTCTGTTTTGCTTTCTTTTTAAATTAAGAAGTGGTCTGCTGAAGGGAAGGTGTCTGATTTCCATAAATTTGCATTAATTAGTAAAGCAACACTTTATTATAACATTTTATTTTTTCCAGCAAATCGTCACCTTGGAATTATAAGGTTCTATCTGCGTTCCGAGTGATTTTGAGATCTTGAGCTTTAAGGTTTTCGCATTCCATATAGCAAACAGTGTGTGTGTAACATTTGTTTTTTAAATAAAAAGTCTTAAAATGTAAATATCTTATAAAAAAACATCCCATAATGAAAAAAAGTTGTTATTTAATAAGAACATGTCAGTAACTCAATTTTGACAAAAATGTCAGATACAACCTTACAATTCTAAGGTGACGAAATGTAAATGCATGAGGTTCATTCTAGTGTGGCGATCTCTGATAAAGAGACTGAAGCTGAAAGAAAATTAATGAATGAATATCTCTTATTAATGTATTAATACAAGGCCAAAACTGAAAAACTATGTCATCATTAACTCGCCCTTTAATTTTTTAAACCTGTTCCCAAACACAAAAGAAGATATTAAAAAAAAATTGTTGAAACGGGTAACCATTCACTTCCATAGTGTTTGTTTTCCTACCATGCAAGTCCATGGTTTCAGCTTTCCTCAAA